GCGCTGGGCGGTTTTTACCACCCGCTGTAGCGCCTTACGGTCTGCGACAGAGCAGTTTCTGTACCAGACTGAGACACTGCTGGTCAGGATGCTCTCGATCACACAGCGGTAGAAGTTCATCAGTACAGCTGAAGACAGGTGGTGTCTCTTCAGTGTCCTCAGGAAAAAGAGGCGTTGATGAGCCTTCTTCACCAGACTGGAGGTGTTAGTGGACCAGGAGAGGTCCTCTGTGATGTGGGTCCCCAGGAACTTGAAGCTGGGGACACGTTCAACAGCCATCCCGTTGATGTGAATGGGGTTGTGCGTGCTTCCTCTTTCTCTCTTGAAGTCCACGATGAGCTCCTTCGTCTTGCTGGTGTTGAGGAGCAGGTTCTGGTCAGCACACCAGGCGGCCAGATGCTGTACCTCCTCCCTGTAGGCTGTGTCATCGTTGTTGCTGATGAGGCCAATCACCGCTGTATCGTCCGCAAACTTGATGATGGTGTTGGATCCATGTACAGGTCTGCAGTCGTGGGTGAAGAGGGAGTAGAGGAATGGGCTCAGCACACAGCCCTGTGGTACGCCTGTGTTGAGTGTGATGGTGGTACTTAATACGTACTTAATACAGCTCTCTCCTGCGTTTCCCCCCCACCACAGAAGTGAAGAGCGACGACCTGCAGGCCATAAAAAGAGAGCTGACGCAGATCAAACACAAGGTGGACTACCTGCTGGAGAGCCTGGAGCACATGGAGAAGGACCACGGCAAGAAGTCAGGTGGGAGGAGGAAGAGGAGGAGGGGGAGGAGGGTGAAGAGGAGGAAGAGGCGGTCTAATATAAAGACACTTTATTCAGCTACCTGGCTTAATTTACAGTACTGAAGCAGGAAAAGTTTCTTCAGTTAAATTACCCACAATGCACGGCAGGAAGTGTTTGACACTCTTCATTTCTTCGCACAAGACCCACATGAAACCCCACACTTCATATTTGTCCCCCCCGTCTAGTCTGAACCTCCATCTCAACAGAACTCATGTTTAAGCCGCTGATAACACATTCAAGTCTTCTTATATGTTGTGGTTGCTTAGTTACGATTAAAAAACAAGCAAAAACCGTCCCCACAAATGTCAAATGTATAATTGGACTCATGGCTTTTCACAAGTAGCATGATATTCTCTGTGACTCAAACTGCACTGGGATGAATCGTGACAGGGAAATATGTGATTGTTGGACAGAGAAGTGAGGAGGGTCCGGGTTGAATCAAACCAATAAATGAACCAAAAGACTTCAGATTAGGATTTTTTTTTGGTTTTCATTTGGCTCCTGATCAAAACCCTGCCTTTAGTCAGTCCCTGTGTTTCTGTGTGTTCTCATCCGTTGTCTCCACTCACATCGACTCAGAGATGAAGAGCTGCAAACCAGAACCTGGCGAGCTGTCCTCCCTCAACTCGTCTACCTCCAGCAAGAAAGATGACAGCCTGAAACGAGAAAGAGAGAGCCAGGACTCAGACGAGGAGGGAGATCTGCTGGAGGACGAGGACGAGGTGAGGAGCGGGAGAGGAGTCCAGATAACAGGGGGTTTTTTTGTTGAGGGGGAGGGGCTTTTATGACTTTATGAGTAGGAAATGTTTAGAGAGAGAGAGGACTTCAGCCTTTGTACATGGGGAGTGCAAACTAACCACTAGGCCACTAGTGCCCATAACAGTGATTTTTTTACCAAACTGGTTGTTTGTAGTAGTTTTCAGTCTTTTGATTAATTTGCAGATTGAGGTGTGCCGGTGGCCTAAGCGGTTGGTGTGCACGCCCCCCACGTGCAGAGGCAGTGGTCCTCGAGGTGGGCGGCCCAGGTTCAAATCCGACCTTTAGCCCCTCCTGCATGTCATTCCCCACTCTCTCTCTCTCTCTCTCCCCCCGGTTGCTGACTATAAACTGTCCTGTCTCTAAGGATAGGGGCATAAAAAGCCCAGAAATAATTTAAAAAAGATGTTTGATGAGTGAGTCCGTTATGTCCATAAGTGCCAGAAGATAATATCCCAGAATCCTCTTTTCTTGTGGGCAGTAATCTGAAACCCTGCTGCTCTTTATACGTCAAAAACAAATATTCAAACATCTCGTTTGTGTCGAGTGATTAAAGACTAATGAGTGATGTTTGGACTTCTCAGATGAAAAGCAGAGGGCAGGATGAGGACGAGGAGGAGGAGGAGGAGGAAGGAGAGGACGACGGGGACAGCGCCAACGGAGACGACTCCTAAACACTACACAGTCAGACCGACACACACACACACACACACACGTATACAAAACCAAGTGTGTGTGATTACATTTCTTTCACCTGACTCAAACGCAGTGGCTACACGCTCACATGTGCTGAGCTGACTGGACATTTGTGTCGATCATTGAAGATATCTAACACTGGAAACATTTCACCAATCTATGACGTACGTTTTGAAAGGATTTTCCTGTTTTTTTTCTTCAGTATTCATAATTCAATATCCCCCTCCTTTTTTTAAAAAACGTTTTTTTGTTGTTGTTGTATTTGATGTTTTGCTTGGATATTTTTGGCCTCTGGAGAAATATAATGTCTTGTCTGTTACGAAAAGATAAACCCCAAATTGAGTGGAGAATAAAGGTCACATTTTAACACTAAATCTAAAGAAGAAAAGAAGCTTCATTGAATATTAGGAAATTGATGCCATAAATGTAAATTTGCTAAAAGATTAAGTTAAAAAAAAATCCATTCCTTTGACAGCAGAGCAGGCTTGAAATTCTATAAAATATGTTACTGCTGCACATCTCCTCACCAGCAGGTGGCAGTGTATCCCCACAACAGGCAAAACAAAACGCAGCAGTTACTTTCTTCTGTGGATCACAGAAAATCTTCATCTTCTGCTTGTCAGATAACAACATGAGCATGTATAAAAAAAAAACTCACGTCGGACTGCACAGACGCTCAGAGAGAAGCCTCATTGCTATGGAAACGGCTGTTTGTCCCTGAGGTGTTACGACCTTTAACTGACCTTGACTTGTGTAATGCAGTGCTACTCCATGTTTGTCTGTTTCTGTTGATGTTTTGTTTGACTGCACTGGTTTAAAGTGAATAAAGATGTTTTCTAAGTTGGCGGAGCTTTTGGTTTTCAATTAACGAAGATGCATTCAGGTGCAGTGTGAGACTGTGGGTCATAAGGGTGTTATGGGGGGGGGGGCTATATAAATGTTGAATGGATGCAAACCAATGTCTTTACCTGTAAGTTAGAAGAATGGTCATTTCCATTTCAAGCTAAAAGAAGAACCGAGGAGCTGAAACACCTCTAGCTTGTTTGTCCACTACTTCATCACCTTCATTGACTTCAAAACAAACAGCTTCCTTATTAATATACATTATTCTGCCGGGAGTCTACAAAGGCCTTGGAGCTCGGTAATGAAGGCCGGAGCAGAAAGCTGGCAGGAATGAAGAGGAATGCAAAGAGGAAAGAGGGATAACTAATCAATACAGAGCAGCCTTCAGGATGAACTGTGATTAATGAGGGGACAAACACAGAGGGGGGGGGGGGTAATGAGAGGGATGGAGGGATGGATGGATGGATGAATGGGTGGAGGGATGGGTGGATGGAGGGATGGATGGATGTGTGGATGAATGGATGGAGGGATAGATTGATGGATGGGTGGATGAAGGGATGGATGGATAGGTGGAGGGATGGGTGGATGGATGGAGGGATGGATTAATGGAGGGATGGATGGATGAATGGAGGGAGAGATGAATGGAGGGATGGATGGGTGGATGGAGGGATGGGTGGATGAATGGAGGGATGGATGAATGGAGGGATGGATGAATGGAGGGATGGATTGATGGATGGAGGGATGGATGGATTGATGGATGGAGGGATGGGTGGATGGAGGGATGGATGGAGGGTGGATGGATGGATGGATGGATGGATGAATGGATGGATTGGTGGATGGAGGGATGGATGGATGAATGGAGGGATGGATGGATGGATGAATGGGTGGAGGGATGGATGGATGGGTGGATGGATGGATTAATGGACGGAGAGATGAATGGAGGGATAGTGGATGGAGAGATGAATGGAGGGATAGTGGATGAATGGAGGGATTGATGGATGGAGGGATGAATGGAGGGATGGTGGATGGATGGATGGAAGAATGGATGGATTGATGGATGGGTGGAGGGATGGGTGGATGAATGGAAGGAAAGATGGAGGGATGGATGAATGAAGTGAGAGATGGGTGGATAGATGGATAAATGGATGGAGGGATGGATGGATGGATGGATGAATGGAGGGATGGGTTAATGGATGAATGGAGGGATGGATGGATGGGTTAATGGATGAATGGATGGATGGATGGAGGGAGGGATGGATGGGTTAATGGATGGATGGAGGGATGGATGGATGGGTTAATGGATGGATGGAGGGATGGATGGATGGAGGGAGGGATGGATGGATGGATGGATGGATGGATGGATGGGTTAATGGATGGATGGAGGGATGGATGGATGGGTTAATGGATGAATGGATGGATGGAGGGATGGATGGATGGATGGAGGGAGGGATGGATGGGTTAATGGATGAATGGATGGATGGAGGGATGGATGGATGGATGGAGGGAGGGATGGATGGGTTAATGGATGGATGGAGGGATGGATGGAGGGATGGATGGATGGATGGAGGGATGGATGGATGGATGGATGGATGAGCAGGCAGCAGAAGACTGGAGACAGATGGAGAGATGAACAGACGAGCCTGATATATTTGATGTCATCCTCTGGAGGGCTTTCAGGAAGTTAAAGTGAGGGTTAGCAGAGCAGCACCTTTTGTTTCCACTTCCCCTGAGCAGACAGGATGTTCTTCATAAAGGTTTTGTGGTTTTTTATCTGATCAAAGTTTTTATGTCTTGGAAAAATGTGAGTGCATTTTAAGGTGTTTGAAAGCTGTATTTCCATTACATGTGAAATGGCTTCTGTTAGGGGTTAAATAAATAAATAATGGCACTAATAACTAATTATTGCACATCCATGAAACATAATGCCAATAATTTTAAGACCACATACACACCTAACATTTCTAGTGTTCTATGTGCTGCATGTTATTCCAAATATATTATATTATTATATTTATTTGTGTTGTGTTTTTATAAACAAAATAAATAATGATTTTCAATACAATATATGAGTGTCCTTGTCTAACACACCCTGGTGGCAGAATTACAAATAGAATGCCATCTAATGATTCACATGATCATTAATAAATAATAACCCACGACTGATCTGGTGCACTGCCTGCATAGCAGTGTGTAGCAGCCCCACTCTGACTTCTCTCCACTAATGCACGTCCACAGGTCCTGTTTGAACATGTGTGTGATTCAGGTCAATGTGTGTGAGAAGCATGTCTCTCAGTAAATCATTTTAAAATAACAATTCAAATTCAAAAAACTAAAGCCACAGTAAGATGGTGAAAAAAAAGAAGCAAAACCTCAACATGCAAATGTTCCCACATTGTGGTAGAGTTCTAGTTTCTAGTTTGTTTGAAGCCCACAACACCGGAAACACTAACTGCTTATTGCCCATGACAAAGTTTTAATGTTTTCAGGTTGTTTTCATTAGCAGAAAAAAGAAGACAAAAAGATAACAATATGTTTCATCTAATCTGACATGTTACTTTAGGTTCTGCCTCATTTACCATCTAGATGTTTTTCTTTTAGTACTGACTGTAACTCGTTTTCTTATTGAGAATACTGAGGGAACAGTTGAAGCTTTCACAGCGTGCTCTAACTGAATTTCCCCATGATATAGTCGGTACTTGGTACAGGCTGACTGACCACTTCCTGTATTAACACCTCTGCTATAGGAGGCCCGCCTTTCACTCAGGCCGGACATGATGTCACTGAAGCAGCAGAATTCACAGTATTTATAACTTTGAACAACTTAAGGTAGTATTAACAACGAGTGGATGCTGATGTGACCTTATTCATATAGCACCTTTCATGTGATGAAAGCAGCTTGATGTTGTTGTTGACAATTAAGTAGCAATTAATACCAACATTTTATAAGTATACCAATCGTATATGAGAAAAGCAGAAGAGAAAAAGAGAAAATTGTTGGTGAGAGGCTTCAATGCACAAGAAGAAGTTACAGTGCAAACAGAAGTTAATAAAACGTGTGGAACAGCTGTGATAATTAATTTAAATTATGTAGTTCAATTTCCTCATTTAAAGAAAAAAAAACCTAAGGGCACTGATGGCCTAGCGGTGAGGTAGCATCCCATGTTCGGAGGCTGAAGTCCGTCAAGCAGGCGGCCCTGGTTCAAGTCCGACATGTGGCTACTCTTGCAACTATTTTACCCTCTCTCTCAAGTTTCTGATGCTATCCACTGTCCTAACAAATAAAGGCTCAAAGCTCATAAAACATGTTTAAAAGAAGGTGATAAAAAGATATAGTAATAATAACTTTATTTATATAGCACTTCACTAATCAAGGTTACAAAGTGCTTCACCAAATGTATAGATATATACATATAGAGTATAGCATCATATAGAAGAACAAAAGTATGATTATCAAAGACTGAAACTGTTGGTTGTGTCTTGTTTTTAATGCCTACTTGATTAGTATAAAATGTTTTAGAACTTCATTTTGTTTTGTTTGAAATGTTTGAAACTGTTTCTGTGAAGTGAACTTAGTAGTTAAAGGGTCGACTTCAAGTATATTTGATGTTAAAAAGAGAAGGTATAGAAAGCTTCAGAGTCAGCCTAAACCTTTTCAACAAGTTTAATCCCTCAACGTATTTTATTCATAATTTGAATAGAACGTTTATATATTCTTGTATGGGGGTAATTTGTAAATACTGATTGAGTAAACTACTAAAAGGAAACTACCAATAATGTGTAACATTTAAAGCTCTGCTTTTAAAGTCAAGAAGAAAACAAAATGGCTGCTCATGGGATGCAGGACCTTGGTTATTTTCTGCCACAAAGCTGCAATGCTGTAAAAAGGTGAAATTGTTAATAATTTGTATTTCTATATTTTCAACGGTAGAGAACTTCACGTCTTTGACAGATAACGACTAAAAGTAACAACCATAACTTCTTTCAAGGATGATTTTTAGCATTCGTCTTTATTAGATAGTAAAGCTGAAGATAGACGGGAAATATGGGAAAGAGAGAGAGGGATAACAGACACCACAGGGATGAGGGTCAGAACTGCATCTGGGGTGGATGTGACCTTATTCTTATTGGCTGGTTGGTCAAAAAGCAAGAACAACCAAAAGAAACTGTTGTTCCTGTTTAAAACATTTATTAGGAACATTACAGCAGAAATACTTTAACAATACATAACTATGAAATAATTAAGATACAAATTACTGACGGTTCAATAAACTATAATGTAAATGATTATGTTGGTTGAGAGCAGGTCATCACAGATATAAAAGTAATGTTGATGTCCATCCGGGATCTTTGGAAGCCAACACTGACAAAGAAGCCGACTTTAAAGCTGCACTATCAACTGGGTGCTCAAGC